TCTCCCGAATTGCCAAATGTTCTCCAATTGACTTGAAACTTGCGCCTATGCTTCAATTTACATAATAGGACCTGAAATGTGACAAAGGAACACAACCTAGCGCAAAATAGTCCAAGAAAGAAAAAACTCAAGCCAAAGTTATCAAGAAACGAGGGTGTAAACATGTGCAAATACGACGTTATCATCTAGGATTGGCCCCAACCCAGGAGAAGTTGGGATGCTGGCGCCACCCCTCGTTGTAATTGTTGTTATAGGGGTTGAAATGCCTGGCATTGCCGATGAAGTCCACCTGCTCCTAGGGAGTAGACAACTCCCTCATCGCCTGACAGTCCTCCACGGTGTGATGGGAGCTTTCACACCACTGGCAGTGCATCGCCTGCTGCTGTCCTGTACTTGAAATCATTCCAGAGCGATCGATGGCTGAAACCAGTTTCGATACCACTTGTACCAAATCACACGACTGGGTGGCTACAGCAAGCACACCCTACGCTGGTGCTCGTCTCGATCGCCTCGGAGTTCCCCAATCATAGCCCTGCTCTGCCATCTCTTCAAAAAGTTGATTCAGTTGTGGCGGTGTCTTGGTGAGCATATTCCCGCCGCAAACTAAGTCAATCAGCTGCTTGTCTTCCGAGAAGATGGCATGATAGAAGGTGTCCACCTTGAAGGCGTCGGTAAAATCATGGTTGGGACACTTGAGGAAAAGACTGGTGTATCTTTCCCAAGCATCCCGAATGGTCTCATCTTCATCCTGAGCAAAGTGGGTGATTTGCTTCTGCAGGTCCGCCATCTTGGACGGAGGATGGTAGCGGGTGAGGAACTTGTCCGCCAGGTTGGCGAACGGGGTGATCGAGCCTGGAGGTCGAGTGTCCTGCCACTCCTTGGCTTGCCCCTCCAGAGTAAATGGGAAGTACCTCAGCTGGATTGCATCGGCTAGAAACCCAGATCTTCATCCCATCGATGAGCTCGTGGAATCGCCTCAGCTGTGATCGGGGGCACTCCCCCTCCTTGCCATGGAATACCACCGAACCGCGCAGCATGGTGATGACAGAGGTGCTCACCTCAAAGTTATTTGCTGGAACATGAGGGTGCTGGATGGGCGACCTCATGTCCGCGGCTCTGGCGGTCCATTAATACCCCATGGTCTGCTCCTCGGGAAAGACCACATCATTGTTCTGTGGGTCACCCATTTCTTCCTCCTCGGCGATTTGCAGTAGTTCTAGAGCCTCCTCCGCAGCCAGTCGCGCCTTTAAAGCCCGCTTGAAGTTCCTACAAGTCCGTTCAAGCTCTTGGTCTAATGGCAGTAAATCTCCCGACTGGCTATGGGTCATGCACTACCTGCACGCAATCAGCAAAAGCAACTCGTGAAGGCACACAGGTGGAAGAGAGAAAATGCAGTAAAGAAAATGCTAAAGTAATAAACTTTCACGTTTTCCACAATAACCTAGAGGTTCCCCGGCAACGGCGCCAAAAACTTGACACGCTAAAATACAACACCAAACTGCGACCAAGTGTAATCGCAGTCCGAAAATGCAGACTAGTGGCAAGTTCTATTTGTCAACCCGGGGTCTAGATCTACTGCCTACTCCGTGATTATCTATTATCTAGCAAACTATGTCGAGTGATAGTGATTTTTAACTAAAAGTAGTAAGAAAGCAGGAAATGGTTCAAAGTTCTTTAGCAAGGGAAGAGTCACTCGGGAATGAGTCCCCCTAGCTCCTTAGTTAGGTCAAGGTTGTAATTACCCTGGGTTGATTAACTATTGATTAAACTGCGGAAGATCCTAAATTAGCTTGGAATCTCTTAAGCTGACCAAGCCCTCTCAGGCACGCTAACCGGAAGGCGACTAACCTTCACCGAGATAGACTACTGAGGCAATAAGCACAGAATTCCACTACTGGAATTGGGTTCCATTACAAAGTAGTAAATCGATTAACTCTCGTATAACCAATCTACCACTACCGGTTAATGAAGCTCTAACAACCTAACCAGATTCTATCTATCTCAGGTTGCAGCAGAAATCAAGAAAAGATGATCAGACTTCAATTGACTCAATGAATCATGCATCAATCGACTATAACCAATCAGTATATCAATCCCAAGTCATTACAATCAAGATTCCTAACACATGGAACTAGGGTTCTTCATACCCAAGTGAGAGAAGGTTCTACTCCATAGAGAGAGAGAGAAAGAGGAAAACAGAAATCAGAGTAGTCATACTCATAAAGATGAGAATAATCTGCTCTTGGATGTCGATCTTCACTCCTGGGGTGCAATCTGGGCTTCAATGGTGAGAAATCCACTCCAAATAGCTCCTAGGGTTTGTTCTTCGCACTTTCTCTCTCTAAAGCTCTGTTTTTGCTCAAAAACTCGATTTTCTCTCCTTAGACTCGAAAATGATTTTATAATTTATTTTATTTTATAGTTTAAGGTTAGACTTTTTTTGGATGATTGAGTACTCTGGAATGTGGATGTTTGAGTGCTCTGTTGGATGTTTGGCAGCTATGAATTAAATAGATTTCCTTTGACAATTATGAATGTTTTGAGTGTTGTTTTGAATGGCAGGCTATGAATAAAAGGACTATATTTACCTACAGTCTAGGCTGCAGGGAGTCCCTGCAACTACTTCACCTGGCCACACGAGATTGGTTTCTTTTTCTTTTCCTATTTCTAAATAAATTCTACTACCTCTCACTAACAGCCTAGGAGAAGGCTAATAGAAACAGTCTTCTAATTCACTTCTCTCACTTCACTTCTCTGATCTCTCACATGTAGTCCCAAAAAGAAATGCTATTTTTTTAAAACCAAAACACTCATTTTCCACAATGAAATATGAAATCAAACCAAGTCCAAATTGTCAAAGAAAATAACAAAACAATGTTCTCGGAAACAAAAATTACAGGAAAATTCCTCAGAAAATTTATTGAAATATTTGAAAAGATGAACATAATTTACTATATCATAATCCTTTTCTCCCCATTTCGTGAGGGTCAAAATATCATAATCTTGTTCTCCCCCTTTGGTTACTGCAGAGCAAATATGACTCTCAGTAGATGTGGCCGGCTGGTGGGAAGTGGATCGGAAATAAAATTTCTTTCTTCTTTCTTAAAAAAACTTGTAGGTGTGCTCATATGATATTATACTGTGATAAATGCGTTTTTGTCACCTAAAAATAAAATAAAATATGACAAATATAGTGACAAGAAATTCTGTCACTAAAAATTATTTTGACATAACAGCAACGTAAAAAATGCATCTTGTATGATACCTCATGTGACAAAAGCATTTGTCACTTAAAATCTTCATCATGGCGCCAAATATTTGTCAATGAAACTACTATACAGTTGTGACAAGCTGCATTTCAGTTTGTCACAATACATCTGTTATGACGCGCTTTTGGTAACAAACTTGTTTTGTTATAATGCCTATGTTTGGCCCGACTTTTAGAAGTGCTTTTCGGTTTCAAAAGCTGAAGCAGGGCCAAACACCTCTAAAAGTTTGGCTTTTGAAAAGCTGAAAAGCGCTTTTGTATAACATAAAAGCAGAAGCTCCGATTTGGAGCTTCTGCGAAAAGCTGTTTTGAAAATACAAAATTATTCTTAACATTTTTTAATTTTATTTCAGAACATATAATTTTCTTTCATTTATATCATTTTAAAAATAAAATAAATTATAAAATCATATTATTTAATATAAAAGAAGTCTAACAAGATCCATTTTGACTACATTTTATTGTTTATAATTATTATTCATATTATATATTATAAGTCCTTTATAGTCATTTTACATAACCTCTCATATTAAAAAGCACTTTTAATAGTTTTTCAGCCAAACACTCAACTGCTTTTTTTGAAAAGTACTTCTCTAAAAGCTCAAGCCAGAAGCTGCTTCTACAAAAGTTACAGCAGGGTCATACTGAGCTAATGTTTGTCATAACATATTTTAAGTGACGAAATCGTGACGTGTTATGACAACTTTTCCTGTCACTATAGACGTTTTTTCTTGTAGTGTGGTATGCTACAAGTGTTGTGGTAGTGCTACCAGATCGAGTGGTACTTTATATTTATGGAAAGAAAAATAAGTGAGAAATTTTAGTAATTTTATTTACGAAAAGAAAATAAAAATTAATTTATCGTTTTGAAAAGTTTTTTTTTACTTTATAAGTACTTTGACTAAAAAATATTAAAAGTACATATATGAGAGATAAATAATTTTTTTAAAAACCTTGAAAAATGTTTGAATTAGTGAAAGTACACAATGCATTTATCAGAATAACCCGCAACCCGATTCGCTTGTAACCCGCCCGACTGATAACCCATTCACGTTGTAACCCTATTGACCCGCAACCATATCAACCCGCAAACCGACTGACGTGCAACCTAATTAATCTGTAGCCCCGATTGATCCGCAAGTCAATTAAACCAAAGCCAACTGACTCACAACGCGATAAACCCGACTAATCCTTAACATGATTGGACCCAACCCTACCCGAACCAGCCTAATTGACACCTCTGTTTGACATATGGATGTTGTGGAGAAAACACGGTTCATTCAACTTAAAGTGTAACAACGAGAATAAATACTTTTGAGAATTTTCTTAAGTAATAGTGAAAATGAAAAATTGGGTGCTTGTACTTCAATTATCATATAATAATTATCATATATATTATAAAAATTAGCGGCCTTGTCATGGTTTTGTTGTTTTGTTGTTGTTGTGCCCTTGTGAGTGGATTAAATTGGCCGGCGATACAGTATCCTCTTCTCTTGTTGTCGTTTTTTATTCCGGTCCTTGTCTCTTCCCTGTAGCATAACAATATTTTTTTGATAATGTGTAGGATATCAGCCTTTCATTTTCGTGCATTGGGTGGCTGGATTATATTCAGTTTCATCTCAACTCTTCAAACGCACAACAATAACAAGAAGTAAAGCTCCCCTGCTATTCCAGTAGCCCGGCCGAAGGAAATTTGAGCATGGCGGCGGCGAAGAAACCTCCCCATGTCCTTATGGTTCCGCACCCAGCACAGGGCCACATCTTTCCTATGCTTAAGTTGGCACAAAAGCTGGCGAACGAGCATGGGATCGCTGTGACGGTCGCCAACTTGGAGTTCATCCACAGAAAGATCGCCGAGCAGAGCTGTGGTACAGGGATCAGGCTGATTTCTGTTCCCGACGGGTTTGAATCGCCGGGGGACGCGGACGATTGGCTGAAGATGGCAGAGTGCTTGGAGAAAGTAGTGCCCGTCCAGCTGCGGAAGTTACTGGAAAAGCAAAAGGAGTCGGCGGTGGGTTGTGATGGCGAGGGTCACGACCAAGAGATCAGTTGGGTCATCGCCGATGCGTTTGCTTCGGCAGCGTTCGTGGTAGCCACGGAGATGGGGATCAAAACGGCCGCGTTGTGGACTGCCTCCATGGACAACTTGGCCTTGTTGTTGCGGCTTCCGCAGCTGATTGAAGCTGGTACTATTGATGAGAACGGTAATCACTGTAAATTAAAATCATTGACTCCCCCTGTTTATAAATCCTTTTATAAACCACGTACTAGTACTACATACATACTGAAAGCATTTATAATTAGATTTGACTTAGTAAAAAGCCATGTTTTTTTATTATTTTTTGTATGATAAATTCTGCGGAGATATCAAATCTCTTATAAATTTACAGAATTCTAATACTATATTGAGAGAGGCGAGATCCACATCTAGATTTGGAGGATGATTTTCCTTTCGATTAAATATCACTAAACATTGAACATTTTTAAAATCTCTTTTTAACAACCATGGGAGTTATAATAATTTAATTATTTAGAAACTAGAAATTTAGAATCCAATTTCCTAAATACATATAGCACATTTGATACATGAAATTATTTGCTAATTTAATAATCATTATTATTGATTGCTCTTATAAATTGTCAATAATTTTTTACAATTAGCATCAAACATTTAAATGTAATTAGCTCATATAGACGTATAAGACACCATATGTATTCATGTCATAACTAATCAGTATTCTATTTTACTAACTATGGTTTCTATTACACTAACAACAGGATTCTTTTTCTTTTTTTATTTTTTACAAATTGCAGGATTCTTGTTGAATAATCTTGAATCAATCTCCCTATCATATGGAATCCCTGCCTGGAAAATTAATGAGTTGACTTGGAACTCTCCTGGAGCGCCTGACGATCAGAAATTCCTTTTCACACGCTTCTACATCAACGTGTCACGCTACTCCCAACTTTTCGACTGCTTGCTTGTGAACTCATTCCACGAACTGGAGACGGCGGCCTGTCAAATGTTTCCTGATACCTTGCCAATCGGTCCACTGGTATCGGAGCCCGATTCGAGACGAAATAATAATAATAATAATAATCTCGCCGTCCCTGCTGGAAGCTTCTGGCAACAGGATGCGACTTGCGTGCCTTGGCTGGACGAGCAGCCTCCAGGCTCGGTGTTGTACGTCGCGTTTGGAAGCATTACGGTGGTGAGCCAGCAGCAGTTCTTAGAGTTGGCGTTGGGCCTTGAAATGACGGGCAAACCGTTCCTCTGGGTTATCCGGCCAGATTTCGTGAAGGGGTCGACAGCTGAATTTCCCCAAGGATTTTGGGAGAGGGTGGGGGGCAGAGGGAAGGTTGTGGGGTGGGCGAACCAAGAAGCTGTGCTTTCTCATCCAGCCACCACATGTTTCGTAAGCCACTGCGGGTGGAACTCCACGCTGGATGGGTTGTGTGCCGGAGTTCCGTTCTTGTGTTGGCCTTACTTTGTGGACCAATTTCATAACCGAGACTCTATATGTGAAGCTTGGAAGGTTGGCCTCAACTTGGAGGCTGATGATGAAACCGGGATGGTGACCAGGTCCGAGATAGCGAGCAAGGTGGGAAGACTTCTCTCTGATGACACCATAAGATGCAATTCACTCAGGCTTAGGGGAAGTGCAAGGGATAGTGTGACAGAAGGTGGCTCTTCCTCCTTCAATTTCGCAAGCTTCGTCCATCGCCTATGCTCACTCACTTGATGCATGTTCAGTTCGGAACTAGTTAGTTAAGGGTCGCTCCCACTTCTATCCTTCCACCAAATTATTTCTTTGTTTTGTTTTTTCCGTTACTAATAGTTTAAATTGTGGCTTTACGACGGAAAAAGTAGTCGCGTTTTTGTTGTTTCATATTGCAGGGCATTGTTAATCTCCAATGAATGAATGAAAACTGCATGTGTTGTGCACACTTTTTATATCTCTAACTTTAGACTTCGAGTTAATAATACATTTTAGCTCTTCAATTGATAATACATTTTATAGTGGCCGTTAATAATATATTTTAGACTTCAAGTTGATAACTCACATCATTGTCATATATACATGTTAGTATAAATTTTGTAATACATTATAAATAGTTTATAAAGTCTACAAATGAAAATATGTATTGTATACACCTGAAATACAAAAGTCTACCAATAGATGGAAAAATAGTATAATAACTCGCCAAAAACTCTATATGATGCAAAGACCAACAACAACAATAGAAAAGGGAGAATTAATAGGAAGAATATACACTAAAACCTAATTAAAGGGGTTTCATAATATGGAGTTGCTTGCTCAACTATCATGTGTTATTTGTCCAATGTGTTGCAGCGATGAAAGAAAGGATAGCCGAAGACCTAGCTCTTTCACGAATGTTTTCTTTTTCAAATATATCTCGCAAACGAAAACAACAAGATACACAAATATATACATAACCTTAATAGGTCAAACCACAAAGTAATAAATAAGAGACGTTCGTCGACTAGAACATGATACAACGATAAGAGGGCTCTTTCCCAAATGCTTATTTAGAAGTTTATATAATTTGCTTTTTTTTACTGTCACTGGGTAGTAGATTCTTCGTATAGATGAGTTGTAGGTTGCGTTTTCATGGATTGGAAAAGTTTTATCATGAGAGAGATTAAAGAGGAAAAGATAAAAGATTTTTCAAAAGAGAGAGGAAAGCTAATGTCATGCTGATATGGACGGGTTATTCATGGTTACTCATTATAACCACTACAAATTTAATGAGCATAGGAGTCAAATATTAGAGACAACAATTTTATTTCGTTTCTGAAATTAGAAGTTTAAGTGATTTTAGGAACGATCAATTAAAATCGTCTCCACAAATTCGGGAATAGATCTTTAATAGGTAAGGGTTTTCTTAATTCGTCGCCAATGAAACTTTTATCTTTATTTTCCTTCTTCTAATATTTAATTGGTTTCCCTTTCCTTTGCTGAAAAAGAATAGTTCCATGTCTTCCATAACAAAGCATTAATTAGTAACCGGCTTATACGAAAAAATAGTGTTTTCCGTCCCATGGCCATAGTCATTATATCTTTAAAAAAAACAAAAAAAACATAGCCATTATCCTTATTTGTTTAGCTTCTGTTTTCCTATTTTATTTATGAATTAAGAATTGTAATATTCACAATTGCCTATAAAAATGACTTCCCTCTATTGTTTTGGAAGAATAAGAGGAATAGAAGACAATATCACGTAATTTCCAAGGTACTTTTGGATTTTATATTTTGTCATTTTTCTTTTATGTAGGTTTGAAATGATTTATTATGTTTTGATACCGCTATTTGTTAAATACGTTTATATGTTTTTAGTGTTTTGCACTCTACGTGAATTGCGCACTTATAATTCTTGTTATAGTTTGCAGAATATGAATCCGAATAAGGACTGGATGAGTATAACAAATAGAAGAGCACCCGAATTCATCGACTGCGTCAATAAAATGTCAAGTTGGCGTTTTCCATTCTTCCAATCAACAAGTCATTTGTTGCCCCTGCACAAAATGCGGAAACGTTGCATACAAGAATCTTTCAGAAGTGAAGTTTCATTTGCTACAAAATGGGATCTTAAGACATTACACAACCTCGTACTCGCATGGAGAAATTGCTAGTAATAATAAGGGGCCATCCACTAGTGAAGAAATTATTAAAGATACTAACTTTGGTGATACAACTGATGATATGGATGGATTGATACATGACGTGTATGGCATGGGAAGCGACGAACAAGATTTTAGGGTTGATGAAGAAGAGCCTAATAAAGACGTTGCTGCCTTCTATCACCTGATCAAATAGGCTAATAAGAAAATGCATTCAAATTGCGAGCACACTAACCTAACCACGATTGTGAAATTGCTCCATCTCAAAAGTCTTGACAAGTGGACTAATAATTCATTCGGCGACTTACTTAGCATCATGAGGGAACTGATTCCAAATGATAAGGATAATTTTCCTGAATCTTTCAATAGTGCGAAAAAGAACATTGTTGGTTTGGGTCTTGGTTATGAGAAGTATGACGTTTGTGAGAACAGTTGCACTTTGTATTGTGGTCCTCACAAAGATGCAAGATCTTACCTTATGTATTGCCTCGATATGCTTGTTTCGATAGACATGGAAGGGAAAATCGCTTAAGGTGTTATGATATTTTCCCTTGACGCCAAGACTACAGAGGTTATTTATGCCAAGTAAAGCGGCTTCCCAAATGAGATGACACAAAGAAGGGTGAATTGATGATGGAATAATAAGACATCATGTGATACTCCTGCTAGGAAGTCATTAGATGAGAAATTCCTTTTGAAATGACACAGTCATCTTGGAAATGTTGATCGGGAGGAAGATGGAGAGGATTATTAACTCGTGTGTGAAGAGGAAGATAACATTAACGATTATGAAGATATCGCTGACTAAGTTTTTTTATGATATGAGATTTTCTAGTTTGTGTGTTTTTTTTACTATTATAGGACATATAATTTATGGTATTGAAGATTATTAAATGTACTATTATTTTGGAGACGAATTAAATATTCGTATATATTTTTACGTAATTTAACCATATAGTATTTTACTAAGTATGCCAAAAAAATTTATAAGTGGGCACCTAATTAGTCGTCTAAAATTTGATAGGAGCCAAAATTTTATTGGCCACCAAAAGAAATGCAGCTTGGCGCCTATTATTTTCTTAGGCGGCAAAGAATAAGTGTTTTTATTAATAATGTATTTTGTTTATATTAAAATAAAAAAGTGCTTACCAGTGCAATTTGGATTTATCTTCTTTTCTAGTTTGTGTGTGTAGTGTAGAGTCCACTGCCGAAACAAAGTACACTTTCATCAAAATCAAAAGTTTGTGTTGGCGGCAAATTAAATTTTTAGACTTCAATTTTCCGCCAAAAAAACCCCTTATATTAGGGTTTCCGGACTTGCAGGCAGCAGCTTTACACAGTTACACTTATTTATTGAAATCCTTCGCCCCCTTTCTCCGAATCAGGTAAGTCTTTGCTCTTTCACCTCTTTACTTTATATAGTTTTCAGCCGCTTCGCTTGATCTCTCTATCGCTAATTCGTGGGTTGTTCTCCACTATATTTATTCTAGCACATCTACCACGCCATTGATTGCGCCTCTGATGATTGATTCTTGTTGCCGTGATCAAATATGGGTCTACTGCTAGCAGATAACTGACTCTGCCGAATCCTCCTTCACCTGGTAAGATTGTTTATCCCTCTATATGTACGATTTCATTTTCAAGGTTTGTTGTCTGGTAATGGAGGATGCTCTGCTTTAATTGCTTTTCCATGTTTCTTCAATCGGATATTAGAAGTCAGCTTGTGGATTGATTCCCAATCTTAGCACACTAATAAGCGTTATTTTTTGTAGGGATGGCTGGCGCATTGAGAAAAAGAGCCAAACTCATATCAAGTCGTCCATCCAACACGGAAGAAATCGAAAACATAGCACATGTTTCGGCAACGGAAGAGGATTCCAGAATCATTTTATGACCAATATACACTTTATTTTATGCAAATGTTGATGATATCTTGTCTCATAAAATTATGTAGGGGATTATTTATTTTCTACAAGTATATGTATTCTCGTCCCCAATTATAGTGTATATGGGATGTCTCATTGTATCCATAAATAATATTTTTGGGATGACTAAATGTCTTCATAAACGATTATTATTATACATCTTGTTGTCTCCAAAAATCTACATCAAGAACATATTGTTGTTTCCAAAATAGTTCGTAGGTGACGAATAGCTGTCTCGATACATAGTTCACAAGAGACAATTGGTTGTCTCGAGAAACACCCATAAATGATGACTTGTTGTCTCTGCAAATAGTTCTTTGGGAATGACTAAATGTCTCGAAACAGTGTATTAGGGACGACTAAGTGTCTTTTAAGATAGTTATTAGCGATGCTTAATGTCTCAAAAACACTTCATAGTGGATGACTTGTTGTCTCCAAAAATACGTCATAGGGGACTAATTATTGTCTCGTAATACAATTTATAGGAGACAACTTCTTGACTCATAAAATACTGTATAGGGGACGACATATTGTCCTAAATTCTTAGAAATAGGACGACAAATTAATTTGAATTTTGGAGTTTTTTGAGACGACTATGTGTCTCTGACATTGAGGACGACTTTCAATTTTCGTCTCCAAAAGAATAGAGGACGGAACCTATAGGCACCATTCGCGGGGACAACGTTTGTCGTCTCCAAAAGATTTGGAGACGAAAAACCCATGTTTTGGAGACGAAAAATTCCGTCCCCTAAACCTACCAATTTTGTAGTAAGATTACTAACCTGATCCGCTCCCCTTAAATATGTATGAAATGAAATAGAATGTCTTTCTTTTGAGGATTTACTCTTTTTCCTTCACTCAGTGAATGATAGCGAACGTTTGGGGAAAAAATTTGCTTGCTCCCCTCAGGCGTTACATGATGGTTGTAACATATTCAAAAGCGTGAGTGAGTTTGGTTTCCAAAGTCTTTTACCCTCTCTGATTCAATTTGATGTACTTTGCTACTTGCTTTCGTTTATGATTTGGGCATTTGGAATTTTCTTTCTTTCCCAACTAATTACTTCGACTCTAGGATTTACGATCATCGAGCAAGATGTTTGTATCATTCTGGTACCCGGTAGAGGAGCAACCATGGCACAAGTCAGAACTTTACTCCATTAACTATGGTTGGATC